CAAACCTCCCTTTAGCAGACTTCCCTTGAGTGAATACGGCCCAGGACCGAAACCGACGGACCTGGACCCGCAAGAATGACGGCCGCAACGCCCTCTCGCGAACCGAAAACGGCCAATTCGCTAATCGACGTGTCAGGGTAGGAGGTCCATCAACCTCCGACATTTTGTACGTTGACCGATCTGAACGTTCCGTCTCAGATTGCGGCTCCCTCCCTGCGTGAAGCGCAACTCCCGGCGTGGCCGCAGAGTTGTGCCGCGAGCCTCGCGAGCGCGAGCCTCCCGCCCCCGGAAAATCTGACGCGCACAAACCCGGCGGGCGGCCCAAAGCTGCAACCCTGGAAGGAGATCCGCGCGGAGCGCCAAAAGCTGTGATGTGTGTGTGGCGCTTTCTCTTCGTCGAGCTTCGTGGAGGGAGCCATTCACTAGCGGACCCTGGACTTTCTCGCAGCAAGCAGAGCTCGACCCCGCTTCGCTCGACCCCGTTCAGAGAGCGACGGCAGGCGACGACGAGAGAGGCCCCGCCTCTACCCCCTGCGCCCGCTGCTGCTGCCTCAACCTCGATGGTGCCCTCAAGTCGGGCGTGTCCTCCTACAGGCGGATCTTGGGCGAAAACTGCAAGAATAGGCAAGAGGTGCTCAAGCAAATGATTGAAACTAGCCGGACAAAAATCGTCTCCAGACTATGTGCTGCCTATTTTTGCCCGACTTGATGGCACCCGTGAGCCTCGATCCCCGTCAGCTGCGATCCCCGTCCACCTCGGCCGCCCAGACCTCGATCCCATTGGACCTCGATGCTGGACTTTGGACACCCAGAATGGGCTCGGAAAAGGGCGGGCACGGCGACCTCCTGTCCTGGATGGCCAAGGTCCGCGGCGACGCCGACGCCAGAACTATACTGCTGGGGCTTCCTACCCCTGCTGTCCGTGCCCAGTTAGATCGTACCGGACCCTGATCCTGGATTAGAAGCAAAAAAAGGAACGCCATGAGCATGAAATGATGGCGCTCCGCGCGGATTTATTGGATCTGCGCTGGACCCCCCTCCCTGGCGCGCGGAGCGCGCCAAGGGCGGCGCCAGAGGCGCCGCCGAGGTGGGCCCAGCGCAGATCCAAGGAATCCGCGCGGAGCGCCAAAAGTGTATGGTTATGGCGTTTGTTCGTCGATGGATCCTGGATCCTCGATCATCGGGGGCGCGCAAAAATGGATTAGCGATCCATGGATTTGTCGCGCGGTCGCCAAAGCCATGGATCGGGGGAAGGGCCCTCCCCAAGAAGCGGCAAGGTGCCGCCTCGCTCGGCGGCGGCAAGCCGCGACTTCCCACGGAAACGGGACCCGCCGCTGATCCTCGCCCCCTTGATCCATGTTTGCGATCGCCTGACCATCTGGGAGGCCTAGATCGACCCCACATAGATCAATGTAATGGGCGTGTTTTCCACCACCACCACCACCACCATAAGCTGGAAGGGGGGGTCCTCCTCCTCCTCCTCCTCCCTCCTCCTTCCTCCTTCTCCTCCTTCCTCCTCCTCCTCCTCCTCCTCCTCCTCCTCCTCCCCCCTCTTCCCCCTCCTCCTCCCTCCTCCTCCTCCTCCTCTCCTCCTCCTCCTCCTCCTCCTCCTCCTCCTTGCCCTCCTCTCCTTCTCCTCCTTGCCCTTGATCCGTGTTTGCGATCGCCTGAGATCACGCACCCGCGACACCCCCCCGCCGGCCGCCTCCGCGTCGGAGAGCTCGGGCGGCGGCTGCACCGACCCGCGCTGGGCCGCCCGCTGGCGCGGCTCGGCCGCGGCGGAGCGCCGCGGCCCCGCCTGAGCACGGAGGGGAGACAACGGAAACTCCTCCTCCTAGTCCTCCTCCTCCTCCTCCTCCTCCTCCTCCTCCTCCTCTTCCTACTCCTACTCTTGCTACTCCTACTCCTAGTCCTATCCCCTACTCCTACTCTTACTCGTACTCCAACTCCGTCTCCGACTCCTGATCCTTCCCGCGCTCCTCCTCATACTCGACCTCCCCTCCCCTCCTCTTCCTCAACCCTCCTCCTCCTCCTCCCCCTCCTCCTCCTCCTCCTCATCCTTAACCGTGCCATTCCTCCTCCTCCTCCTCCTCCTCCTCCTTCTCCTCCTCATCCTACCTACTCCTCTCCTCCTCCTCTTCCTCCCCATCCCTTCTCTTCCTCTTCCCCCTCCTCCTCGACCCTCCCCCTCCTCCCCAATCCGCCCTCTCCTCCCCAACCCTCCCACTACTCGCCCTTCCCTCCTCCATCGCCCGCCCTATTCCCTCCCGGCCTCCTCTTCCTCCTACTCTCCCACCTCCTCGCAAGGGGGGTAGCAAACATGTCCCCAACATCTCCGCAATCATGCCCGTCCTCAAGATCCGACGTTACAGAAAAATGCAGCATCAAAACAAACCTAGAGGCCTCCTAGATGAGGTCCGAGTAAACGGGGTAGATGGGATCCGATGCATCGGCGATGCATCAGCGATGCGTCGACGATGCGTTGACGATGCATCGTCGACGTCGGCGATGCATCGGCGACGTCGGCGTGGGGAAACTCGGGCTCCACATCAAGCCGCATCGCCGATGCCCCTGCAATGCGGAGCAATCCTCCGACCCCATCTACAGTACGGCAGGTTCGTGTCGTGCCGACCCCAGCGTTGGTTTTTGACACCGCAGGGATCGTTCAACCTTCAATGATCGGCCGCTGCCGCAACGTCCGATCGTTCAACATCGATCGATTCTGGGTCGCCGGCGGCGTTCAACCTTGAGCGCCCGCGCTGGGGTCGCCCCTGGTCGACACGACGCAAACCTACCGTAGGGGCCCGACCACAAGAAACCTTCCACAAGAAACCCAACCCTGAGACCCCAGGACGTCCATCGATGTTTGATGTGGGACCGTCACGCTTTCCATCGCAAAACCATCGAAGCCCAGGCCACCTGGGGCATCCTGGAGGCATGCAGGGTGTTTCTTGGCATGGGCCCCCACTCTACTCGGACCCCATCTGGGAGTAGGAAGGCACCAACTATACACCAACACCGATCCTGGCCAGGATCACCCTGGGCCAGGATCGGTGTTGGTGTATAGTTGGTGCCCTCCGAGGGAGGCCTGGGGAAAGACCCTGGACCCCGTCGTTCGAGCCGGGCCGATCTGAGATGGCCCCTTGGGCTCGAACAGGGGCGCAAACGCCAGTCGTAAAAACACGCATCGCCCTGATTCCGGGGGTCTCCCCTCCCCGATGTCTGCTTCTTTTTGAGCACTGTTTGACTATTGCTAACTTTTTCGTCCAAAATCGCCCTGCAGGAGGACATGCCCGACCAAAAGCCTAGGGCCTAGACCCATCCCTGGCAGCTTTCGCTGGCCATCCCTGCTCGGAGCAAGTCAGCATGGCTCTCGACTGCACCCCCGGCGATGTGGGGCGTGACTGGGGTCAGCGGCACCGCAATGGGCACTCACTAACGGCAACGGGTACTTCGGGAAGTTGCCGAAAGTTGCCACCTTAGGGCCTCTTTCTGGCATTGCGGCGTTGTCCACATCGGTGAAGGTTGGGTTCGCCGGGTCACTGGCCAAAGTACCCGCTAGTGCAGTCCCCGTTGAAAAATCGTCCCCAGACTATGTTTGACTATTTTTGAATATGCCCCTGCAGAGTGGCACGCCCGAAATCACCTTATTAGGCGGGTTGACGTCCACTGACTCTTCGCGCGGGAACGGCACGTTTTCCATCGCAAAACCATCGAAGCCCAAGAAACCCAGGGCACCCTGGAGGCAAGCGGTGTGTTTCATGGCATGGGCCCCCGCTGCGTGCGGGTCAACTGTAGAAAAGGACCCCCGCAACTCCCAGAGGCCCTAACGAGGCGGCCTCGGCGCCCACGGTGCGGGCGGCCCTGCCCGAAGGGAGGCGCTCTGGCGGGCGATGCTCGAAGGGAGGCCCCCCCCCGTCGCCCATCTACGGGCGATGCCCTGCCGATTCGAGCTCGACGCTTCCCCCCGAGAGCCCAGAATCGAATCGACAAGCCGAATCTGCGATCGAAGCGGATCGGATCGGCGGAAATCGGCAGCCGAGCCGGAAAAAGTCGAATCGGCGGAAATCGGGAGGTTAATAGGCCCCCATTGAATATCGGAGCCCAAATCGGAATCCGAAGTCGAATCGAATCGGAATCCGTCGGGATCGAGTCGAATCGAATGAATCGAAAAAGAGCCCTGTTGCCCTGGCCCTCCTGGGATACCTGAGAACTTATATATATATATATATATATATATATATATATATACACTAGTTGTTTAAAGTCTTTGATTCTGGGGCTCTCTCCCCCAGAGTCCAGGGGGGGGCTTGGGTTGTTCTTTCTGCGGGGGCGGTCCGGGGGCCCAGGATTATGTACGCGTGTGCAAATTATTTTGGGGCACTTCAACATCTCGGGGCATTTCAACATTTCCAGCCCGGATGGCACATCGCCTTCGCAATCGCCATGCCCACGCATTGCTTCTAGGTCCCACCACGCCCGTGGCCTAGAACCGCTGGGAGAGGCCCCACAACCTTTTGGGAAAGCCCAAAAACCCCTTGGAGAGTCTCCGGAGCTCCTTGGACAGCCCCCAAAGACTCTCAGAGAAGTTTTCATGCCCCTGTGGGATGTAGGCCCCTCGAAGACGCTTCAAGGCTGAGCAGGAGGGCTTCGGGGCCTCTCGAAGAAGGGCCTCAGGGAAGTTTTGAGAAACACCCGGATCGGAGGAGCGTCTGGGCCTCGGGGAGGAGGAGGAGGAGGAGGGGGAGGAGGAGAAGGAGGAAGATTTTTGACCACTCCAGGAAGACCAGGCCGACCGGCACGACGAGCGGGTACGGCACCACGACCGCGAGGGAACTGCCGCGACCATTATCTGCAGTGACTGCTAAAAACCGAAGCCGTCCAGGTCGAACTCGTCGAGACGGTCTGTGCTGGAGTCGTCGGACCACGCCACCGCGAACCGAGAGAACAACGCTCCAGCATCCGCCACTCCTGCCCTTGACGGGCTCCCACTTGCATAATCACTGCAGCCGAACAAGCGGCCTTCGCCAGGATCGACGGGGAGTCCCCGCGGGATCCACGACGGGGCGGCGAGAGAGGGCAAGGGGTCCTCCCTCTGCGGCACCAAGCTGCTCGCCTGCACGTGCACTTCCCCTTCCCTCAAAGCCCTCAGCCGCAGGGGGGAGGGCCCCCACGGCTGGTAGCTGGGCAGCCCCCTCCTTCTCGAAGTCCGTCTGGGCCTCCGTCTCACAATCCTTGGCCACCGCACCGTGCTCCTCGATCGAGGCCGCCAGCCGCGCCAAGCGCTGGACGAACGGCTGGGCGACACGGCCAGGGCGCTCCCGCGCCCACAATTGTCGCTGCTCCTCGATCTCCATAATGCACTTGCTCGTCGGCGAGAGCACCACATAATCCACGCCGACGATGTTTGGTTCCAGCTTCGCTTCCCGCATCTCGCCCTTCACGCACGTGCTGATCCCGACGTTGTGGCTGATGACGTCGGGGTCCAGCAGCGCCTCCCACTTCTCGCATGGCGGCGGCACGGCCGCGCGGCAGGACGAAACGACAGTGCGCCGCACTTGCACCTGGCGCCTGCAGCGTCCAGCCTCGCCCAGCTGCCCGCACCAGGAGCGAGGGCAGGAGCTTCAGAGCGAAATTGAAAACCTCCACGGCCGTCAAGCCCAGGAACAGCATGAGCGGCCAGAACATCAGCTCCAGGGTTCTCGAAGCTCGGCTCCACGCCAGTTGGCAATTGCTCCTGCGGCTCCAGTTGCCGATCCGCGAGCGCGCGAGGAGGTACCAGGCGCGCGGACTTCTGGAGGCTCCTCAGCTCCTGGCAGCGGGCCTCGGGGCCTGGCTCCTGCGCCGAATGCTCGGCGACGCTGCGGAGAAGGATGTCGGCGTCGGTCAGAGGAGCCTCCAGTACTCCATCTCGGGCTTGCACCTGTGCCCGAAGGACTGGTTCGATGCTCCTCCACCGTTGGCGAAGCTCGTCTCCTCGCGGGTCACCAGACCCCCCGCCGAATAGCACACTGCGCAACCTGTCGTTCTCGCGAACTTGCACCGCGAGCCGCTCCTCGAGATCACGGAGCTTGTGATGGGCCGCCGCCAGCCCAGCGTCTGCCGCCGCCAGCGCCCGCTGCCGGGCCGCCGTACGGGCGGCACGTGACCTCCGATACCACCCAGAATCACCGTCAGGCGACTCCGCCCGCACCATCTCAAGCTCTCCAGTCCCCTGCAGCGCCACACTCCGGGCCGGCCATGCGCGGGGGAAAATGGCGAACAAGGGGCTTGAGGCTGGCTTGAGCCCAAATGGCTACGGAGAGGAGAAGGAGGAGGAGGTGGAGGAGGAGGAGCAGGAGGAGGAGGAGGAGGATGAGAGGGAAGAGGAGGAGGAGGAGGAGGAGGAGGAGAAAGAGAGAAGGAGGAGAAAGAAGAGGAGGGAGGCGGAGAAGGAGGAGGAGGAGGAGGAGGGCGATGAGGAGGAAGCAGGAGGAGGAGGGGAAGGAGGAGGAGGAAGAGGAGGAGGAGGAGGAGGAAGAGCAGGATAAGGAAGAGGAGGGAGCAGAAGGAGGAGGAGGAGGAGGAGGAGGAGGAGGAGGGAGCGGAGAAGGAAGGAGGAGGAGGAGGAGGAGGAGGAGGGAGGAGGAGGAGGAGAAAGAAGAGGACGGAGGAGGAGGAGGAGGAGGGAGCAGGAGGAGGAGCAGGAGCAAGAGGAGGAGGAGGAGGAGGAGGAAGGAGGGAAGGCATCCAACTGTCACCCCTCTTGTTGTCGCCTCCGACGTCTCCCGCGCCTCCCAGGAAGGCTCACGCGGCCTCGGCGTCCCCAGCGAGGCCGGCCCTGCCCGAGAGGAGGCGCCTCAGCGGGGCGCCCCTGGCGGCGTCCTCCTCAGGGGGCGCGACCCCGCGGGACGGCGCGCAAGGCGACCTTGGGGAGGAGGAGGAGGAGGAGGAGGAGGAGGAGGAGGAGGAGGAGGAGGAGGAGGAGCAGCAGCAGCAGAGGTAGGAGGAGGAGGAGGAGGAGGAAGAGGAGGAGGAGGAGGAAGAGATCCGAATCCACGCTGGATGAGAAACCGGCCGTGGGAGGAAAACGCCCAGATTGCAAATCCCCCCCCAACAAGAAAAATATCTCGCGCGACCTCCCATGAGCTTACGAAACGGGCGACGAACGTATGCACTTCGCAGCCCCCCAAGGAGCCGCGAGGTCCCAACTGGATCCCCGTGTAACTCCTCTCCGCGCGGCCTCCCAGGAACCCACGAACATGGCGACAACTTCACACAACGCAGCCCCCCCAAGGAGCCGCGAGGTCCCAACTGGATCCCCGTACACATCCACGCCGCGCGACCTACCAAGAACCCGCGAAAATGGCGATACGTTTGCGCTTCGCAGACCCCCAGGGAGCCGCGAGACCCAAACTGGATCCCCGCGTGTCCCTCCACCACGCTGGACCACCCAGGAGCCCACGCAAGTAGCGCACGCTGGACCTCCCAGGGGCCCACGAAAGAGGCAGAGGGCAGTTGAGAGGATGTAGCAGGCACGGGAGAGGAGGAGGGGGAGGAGAGGAGAGAAGGAAACTCGATCACAGTGCTTTAACTATTCAAAACGACACAGGAGAGTTGGGAAAGAACTGGTTGAAAGTCTCGTGATCGCCTCGCGAACCTGAACCGAAGAATGTATAATATCGTGTGCGCGGTGGAGGTCGCAAACAACAGATCCCAACATATCAAAAGGAAGCTGGATCACTGGTTTTATGTTGCTCCCATCGTACTTGAGGACCACATCCAATACATAATTTCGAGCACCCAGAGTATCGAAACGGTGTCGAGCGAGTGTCGCCTCCCAGGGCCCGACGCGTGAAAACCCTCCAGTTTCGGTACTTTCATGGTGCTCGACATGCTTTCTGGTGGGCCAGGCTAAAGCAGGTTGAAATACCATAATCCTCCCCCCCCACCCCGTGAACCCCAGGACCGCCCAGTACCCCCCAAGACCCACGACAGCAGCCAACGCCGCCTCGATCCTCTATCCTCCCTGTCTCCCTGGGGCTCTATTTCCAAGAGGAGCTGGCGATCCCCCTAACAGCCATCGTGCTGACCGAAGGGATGCTGGTTAAGGAATGAGTTTAGGGCTTTTTGTTGCCTGGCCACGGAACAAGTTCCCCGACCTAGATCTAAGGAGCAGCCCGAAAACCAGAGCCCCTCATTAGCCCATGGTGGATCCTATCTCAGCGTGTGCGCTGTAGTGGCAGCCCACCTTCGCACTGCTCGATCCCAGGGGACCTCGAGGGGCTTCCGCGGGGACGGCACGGAGACGACTGGGGACCTCTGCAGGAGCTCTTGGGGGGGGGGGGGCTACGGACCTGGCCCTTTCTGCCGCTGTCGCCAGAGGCCGCGGGGACCTCGGGGAGACCGCGTCCTCCTCATCCTTCCTGACCCTCCTCCATCGTCCTCCTCTCTCCTCCTCCTGCACCTCGTCCTCCTCCTCCACGTCGTCCTCCTCCTCCGCCTCCTCCTCCTCCACTTCCTCTTCTCCTCCTCCTCCTCCTCCTCCTCCTCCTCCACATCCTCCTCCTACTCCTCCACCTCCTCCTCCTCCTCCTCCTGCACCTCCTCCTCCTGCTCCACGTCCTCGTCCTCGTCCTCGTCCCCGTTCTCCTCCTCCTCCTCCTCCTCCTCTTCCTCCTTTCTCCTCCTCCTCCTCCTCCTCCTCTCCCTCTCCTCCCTTCCCTCCTACTCCTCCTCTCCTCTCTCCTTCCTCTCATTCCTCGCCCCTTCCCTCCTCCTCCTCCTCCCTCCTCATCCTCCTATCCTCCTCCTCCTCCTCTTGCTCCTCCTCCTCCTACTCCCCCCTCCTCCTCTCCCTCATTCTCGTTTCCCCCCTCCTCGTCCCCCCCGTCGATCGTCGATGCCCCTCCCGCCCCGCGGTGCCCCCGAGGTGCTGCGATCCTCGGGCGCCCCCCGACAGCCCCGCGGCGCCATCTGCGCCGCACGCGCGGCGCGGCGAGGCGCGCCGGGGCGGCGGGGGCCATCGGCGGGCGCCGCGGCGTCGGGATTGATGGGCCTGCTTTCCTCCACCACCACCATCAGTTGGAGGGGAGAAGGATGTAGAGGAGCAGGAGGAGGAGGAGGAGGAGGAGGCGGATGAGGAGGAGAAGGAGGAGGAGGAGGAGGAGGAGGAGGAGACGGACCCCCTCCCCCTCCTACGTATGGTGGTGGCGGTGAAAAGCAGTCCCACCAGGGATGGGTTGCTGTGGGGGCGTCCGCGAGGAGCGCGCGGGGCGCGCTGAGGCCCGCGCGGCGAGAGCGGAGCGGGGCGCCTGCCATCGGCCCGGAGGGCGGCCCTGGGGAGAGAAAAGGACGGCGGTGGCGCCGGAGAGCCGGGAGAACGTCGGCTCCTCGGTGCTCGAAGGTAAACGGGACTCCCAGGAAGGAGGGGAGCAAGAGAGAGAGAGAGAGAGGACGAAGGCGGCGAAGAGGGGGACAATTCCACAGTACGCAGTACCTACGCCGGGGAAGGCGGGGGGGGAGGGGTGACGAGGTGGCGGGGGAACGAGGGGGGAGGGTTCGAGGGGGAAGGGGGAAAAGAGGGGAGGGGGGGAGCAGGGGGCGGGGAGGGGGAGGATCCTGAATACTGAAACTCCGAGGCGGATTCGGCGCACGCCAGTTCACACAAGAAGCTCATGACCCTGGCGCGAGCACAACTCGGCACAACATACGGCGGCATTGCAAATTCAGATCTGAGATGCAACTGCTTGCCCTTTCAAACGAATTATTTTGGTGAGGGCAGCCAACCTGGTTTCATACGGCGGTGGGCCCCAGTGGGCTCTGGAAACTCGGGCGGTCTCAAGCTCAGGGCGCTTCACTGCGCGGCACACGCTGCACTGAGCAGGGAGACCAATATCGGCTTGGCGGGCGCGCCTCTGGTGTGGGCCCACCCCCTTATCGTATATCGGAAAACACTTCGAGCCCATTCTTAGTCGGGAGCTCGCACAACCGTCTTAACTTGTTTCGTCTGGACTGCTGAGCCCAAGCGCCGCACTTGCTACTCGGATGCACAGGGTTCAGCCAGCCAGGATTCGCTGGGGACCTACCACCCTGATTGACAGCGATCAAGCTTTGACTTAGCGGGTTACGAACATACTCTGCTAGCTACGCGGGCATACCTTTACAATATTTGAGAAGCTTATCATGTGCATCACTCGCTGCGCACAAACACTTGCTACACTGCACACCTATGGCCGTCAGAACACACATGCCAACCGAAGCGCAGCACGTGCACTTCTCTGTCAGATGGCCTCGGGCGAATCTGGCGCTTTTCTACCTCGAACAGCGGCAGGGCGGAGACGGCCAACTTTATTAACTTTGCCGAGATACGCGTACCGTCGGCAATCTGCTGTCCCAACACATGCGCTGGGGGTTCGTGGAGCTGGGCACCTCGCTTCGCATGAACATCAACGACGATACTGGCATCCGTGTTCCTTCTCTGCCCGTCGGTTCATCCTCGGCTTCCGCGCGCCGCCAGCGCGGCATGCTACATCGGAGACGAGGGCGCTTACGCTCGACCTCACATGGGCAACTTGCGCGCCAATGTCGGCGCAGTCGAACCCGTTTTTGCTTGCGTCGCTCAGGTCAAGAAGGGAGGCCTGGGGAAGAGGAATGAAATTCGCCGGCCCAACGGGCCAGAGGCGTGCTAAGATCTCCGGTAACTGGTTAACAAGTCTCTAATTCGCGCGCGCGGGGCGGCCCCTGGGGGTCCCCGGACCAAAAGTACCCCGGGCGAGTCCCGGCTGATCCCCGGGCGACTCCACCAGAGCGCTCCATGAGCGCACCAACAGGGCTCCGAGACGTCCCCGAGAGCCCCAAGAAAGGCCAAGAGGCCCCGAAGAAGCCCCCAAGATGGTACACGAGGGGTCCGACATGCCACAAGATCGCTCCAAGACGCCCAAGATAGCCCCCAGACGCCCCAAGAGGCCTCCAAGAGCACTCCCAAGAGGGCCCCAGGAGGCAAAATTCATTGCTTTGCCTTAGGTT